TATCACTATTTTTTTTTATAAATCGTGTTTTTTGGAAATTATATTTAAGTACGTATTACTAATAAAATGATGAAATATGAATAATATTTATCGTTCTTACCGATAGAAAAAGTTAAGTTTATGTTTAAGTTGATTATCGACAAAACACGAATAAAATGTCATTATCTAAAAATGATTCCTAGCTAGATGGATTTATCGCCACCGAAACCTCCTATATACTAAATTTTATGAAAATCGTTGGAGCCGATTCCGAGATTCCAATTATATATATACAAGAATTGCTCATTTAAATATATAAGATAGGGGGGCGTTAGTGAGCTATCAAAATCTAATTTGACTTATGTGTTCCTGGTAGACAAATAAAAAGATAATATCAATATGAGATCATTTATTTATAACTTAATATGACTTAAGTTGTACTTAGTCCAAAACATATTATATATGCTTCAAATTATCAAATGCCATTTTGTTAAACATGTCTCTATCTCTCTTCTGTTTTACGTCGTCATTTTTAATCTTCTTTGTGGTTAATTCGATTTAGTATTGTTAACACTTCTTGCCACTCTGATGTTCTCAGGATAAAGTTCTGTGAATAATAAAATTAAATTCATAGGCGTCAGTTGTCAGCCAATAATATCTACAACGGGTACTTTCATGTTGAACGCAGCAAAAGCTTCCTTAACCAAGCTTCAAACTGTCCAAAAGTTTTCACTTATAGGACTTGAATGGATTCAAGTAATCATAAAAAACAGTGCCATCTATTGACACAGATTAAATATTACAATTAAATGAAAACGCCATCTATCGGTAGAAAACTTTAAGTTTATTGCTAGTTGTCAGTCACCGTTTGCGCGGAATTAAAAAAAAACTTAATAGTCTATGTTTTCTTCCAGACTATGTTCTACATTTATGACAAATTTCAGCGAAATCTATGCAGCCGTTCTGGAGATACCTTCTAATATACACCTAAATCAGCCTTTCCCAAAGTGGGGGATATCGTCCCCTTGTGGGCGCTGCAGGTCTCAAGTTGCGGGTTATAGTAAAAGTTTCGTTTAGAATTCTCCGTTAATATACATATATAGGTCACAATAATTAATTAATTTAATTTGAAGTTATAGTGGTTTTTAAATATGTGAAAATATGGGGGCACTAAAAAAATATTTATTCTCAAAGTGGGCAGTAGACAAAATAAGTTTGGGAACCACTGGTCTAAACATTCGCATTTATAATGTTAGATTACCATATGCCAGCTCCCTGCCAAGACGTGGAGAAAAGTGTACAGTGCGTCCCAATCTCGGTGAGAAATATTCAGATCTGATATCAACTCGATCACGGCCAGAACTGTTAAAAATAAATCAATAAGACATTAAAAATGAACAGATAAAAGGCTATAAACCAAAATCAACATAACTAGACTGTTTAGTTGGCCTCTCTCCCCGAATGGGAGCATACCCACTAAACCCCTCTGTTCTCTCATACCCATAATGTGGGACGCCACGGGATCGTGTTAACTTACCACCGCGACGCCCCACTGACCAGCCCGAGAATAGGGCTCCTCAATGCGCCCCCAATGAGTAGGTGGTCCTCAAAGACGACACCGTGCAATGCAGTTTCGGGATTCCCCGCCCTCCTGCTTAGTTGGCCTAGCACACAGAAGGAAGGCATGGAATGTAAGAAATTACACTATTCGTCTGATAAGTGTGGTACCGGAGACCTAAATTAGTCCCTTGTCCCTTCCCTCACTTCTTATAAGTAAAGAATGGGTAGTGAAAGTGAATTTTCCGGATGAAATGCATGGGAAGGGAAAATATTCTCTTTCTGTGTCTCTCCTCCGTTGGTTAAAGGTAGGCAACGCATCTGCAATTGCGTATGTCTACGGGTTTAGCGCTTTGCTATTAAAAAAAAACATTACAATTTACGTAGAACTAGCTGTCGCCCGCGACTCCGTCCTCGCGGAATTAAAAAAAAAACTATTGGTCGCAGCGTAATATTATATAGCCTAAAGCCTTCCTCTATAAATGGACTATCCAACAAAAAAATAATTTTTCAAATCGGATCAGTAGTTCCTGAGATTAGCGCGTTTAAACAAACAAACTCTTCCATCATCATCATCATCATAGTATAGATTTAGTATTTAGTAACTCTACCGGGCATAAACTACACTAAAATTGTCATACTAATTTTTACAATTGTCACATATTCGCTAAGCTGACTGTACTTTTGTTTGTTTCAAATTGTTTGTTCAATTTTCTTTCCAATATACAACTTACATTTCTTGTTCAGGTGTCGTTGCAGAATCAGGAACTCGTCTACCAAGTCGTGGAGTGAACTCTACGTTTTCATAAACTCTTTTCTCTTCGTTCCTTTCCAAACTACGACCCAATTTAGGTGTGAAAATAACTTTCTTGATAACTAAAAGAAGTAATTTATTTTAACTATAATTTAATAAAGCGTCGGTGGCTCAGTGGTTAAGCACTTGACTTGCAATCTGCAGGTCCTGAGTTCGAATCCCGCCATGTACCAATGTGTTTTTCGATTTTCGATTTACATATGTACATTTATCCGACGTTCTTACGGTGAAGGAAAACATCGTGATGCAACCTGCACATATCTGAGAAGTAATTCAAAGATATGTGTGAAGTCAACCCGCACTTGGCCAGCGTGGTTGACTATGGCCTAATCACCCTTAACTTAGGGTAGGCTCCGAGCCCCTCGGTGGGGACGTATAGTGAGCTGACGATGATGACAAAATTACCTTTCTGCGGCTCGTCCACTTGAGATTCGTAAAACGGTAACTGATCGTAATAATATTTCAAGGTATCCGCTGCTTCCAATAATCGGAGGAACTTTTGGCTGGAATTTTTTAATATTTAAAAAACAATACTTACGTTCAAATATTTTGACGGAAAACTGACGATAGCAAACGAAACAAAAGATGGTCAAACATCAAAATTATTAAACACTTTAAATAAGAAAAGCGCAAAATATAGACGAAGTAACTGTCGTCCGCGACTTCGTCCGCAAAGAATTGAAAACTTAAATAGTAGTCTATGTGTTCTTCCAGACTATGTTCTACATCTATGACAAATTTCAACAAGATCCGTTGAGGCGTTCTGGAGATATCTTCTAACATACATACATCTAAACATTTGCATTTATATTATTTGTAAGAAGTAAGACGGGGAAGTCCTTATACCTAATACGATTTAATTTTTTGCTACCTTTAGCTTACACTGTAATATTTGACATGTACTAAAAATAGCCGGAATTTCACTCGAGTTAGAAAGTCGTAATAATGAGTCTTTTAACGGCATTGTTTTCAGTTTTAACAATTTTCACGAGCGTCCGTGAATCAGGGGTTAAAGCACTTGTAATCTGCAGGTCCCGGGTTGGAATCCCGCCATGTACCAATGTGTTTTTCGATTTTCGATTTACATATGTACATTTATCCGACGTTCTTACAGTGAAGGAAAACATCGTGATGCTACGAATATCTAAGAAAGTCAAAGATATGTGTGAAGTCAACCCGCACTTGACCAGCGTGGTTGACTATGGCCTAATCACCCCAAACTTAGGGTAGGCCCCTCAATGGTGACGTACTCTTTCACAGTTGTTAAAGATAAGAAGGGGTTATAGAGTTACTTACCTGTTGTCTTCAGAAGATAGAGCAAGCGATCTTTTACCAAGTCGAGGTCCAAACCATAGACCATTTCTATCGCTATGTGCACCTCTATCCAATGTTTCTTCCTGTCAAGAGAAATATTAATTTTAAATTAAAAAATAAATTTAATTTCAAATAAACACCTTGACAAAAAACGTCAAATATCATGGCGGACCTTCGGGGTTAGAAAGTGGTAGCGCTACAAAGCGATTCCATAATTAAATTAGTATTAAATACTAGCTGTTGACCGCAACTCCGTTCGCGCGGAATTAAAAAAAAACTAATTATTAGCCTATGTGTTCTTCCAGACTATGTTCTATACGTATGAAAAATTTCAGCGAGATTCATTTAGCCGTTCTGGAGATAACGTCAAACAAATTTTTATTACAAGACCGATACCGAACTTCAAAAATGTATGGAACTGACGCGCAACAATCATGTGACTAACAGAAAGTTATTTTCAGTTCTACACGTATTATAATACTTTCTTAAATTTTCATCCCCTATCATTATTTTACACCCTTGAGAGTAACATTTAACAAACATAGAATGTCATATTTATTTATATCAAACTACCTGTCGTTCGCGACTCCGTATGCGTGGATATATAAAAAAACTTAATTAGTGTAGCCTATGTGTTCTTTCAGACTATGTTCTATACGTATGCCAAATTTAATCGAGATCCGTTTAGCCGTTCTAGAGATATCTTCAAACACCCATCCATCCATCCACATCACATCCATCTTAATATTCTCATTTATAATATTAGTAAGTTAAATAATAAGCAACTCTTCAAGGCATAAATTCGAAAAAAATGAATAAATAGTATCCTTTGTCCGTCTCCTGGCTCTAAGCTACCTCCTCACCAATTTTCAGTCATATCGGTAAAGACGTTATTGAGTTATAAATAGTGTAACTAACTCGACTTTCTTTTATATACATATGATTAACAGCCTAAAAAATAAATTTTGAGCTTCTATCTGCAAAAATACTTCTATACAAATTTCCAACCCCCTTTTCACCCCCTTCCAACCTATTTTTCGCGTTAAAAAGTAGCCTATGTCCTACCCCAGGTTCCAGACTATCTGTGAACCAAATTTCATTTAAACCTGTTCAGTAGTTTTTGCGTGAAAGAAGCACAAACAGACAGACGGATAGTGTTACATTCGCATTTATAATATAACTAGCGGACCCGACAGACGTTGTCCTGTCTACACGTCTTTAATTCGAATATTATTTAAAATTTGACACTGCGATGGTAGCGCCGTCTGTCGGATCCAATGTAAAACATTCCAAAATCAACAACTACTAATAAATTAAAAATTAATTAAAAAAACATTGTCCAGCGGACAAAATTGTGAATCTAAACCATTCCCAGATCCCCTTGAACACACACAAAAAATTTCATCAAAATCGCTCGAGTCGTTTGAGAGAAGTTCAGTGACATACACACTCACAGAAGAATTATATATATAAAGATTATAAAGGATTAAAGTGCATTGAACAATACAGGAAAAGTGTGATGACGTAACGTATCAAAAACTTAATTTTAATATGACTAAACGAAAACTAAATATGGTTTAAATAAACTATGACATTAAAATAAATGTGTCAACGAATTTCCCCATTCGTTTATATTGAAAACTATTACGTATTGTTTTCAATAGAAACAAAACTGCATTAATATTTTTCGATATGTTACATATATGAAAACGTCGCTGGCTCAGGGGTTTAAGCACTTGACTTGTAATGCAGGTCCTGGATTCGAATCCTGCTATCTATCAATGTTTTACAGTGAAGGAAAACATCGTGATGCTGCATATATCTGCGAAGAATCAAACATATGTGTGAAGTTAATCCGCACTTGGCCAGCGTGGTTGACTATGACCTAATCACTAACTTAGTGTAGGCTCCGAGCTCCTCAGTGGTGACATGAGCTAAACATAATAAGGTAATATGTAAGAAAAATAATTTGTTTGTTTATATTGAATAGACTCAAAAACTATTAAACTGATTTGAAAAATACTTTCACTGTTGTGAAGCTTCACTATCTCCAATTGACATAGACTTTATTTATTGCTAGGTTTTTTTTAATTCCGCGCAAACGATGTCGCGGTTTAAAACCAGTACCTGGATGACCGAGCTTTGCTCGGTATTTTTTTTTTAAATTGTGTTTTTTGGAAATTATATTTAAGTACGAATTACTAATAAAATTATGAAATATGAATAATATTTTTCGATCTTACCGATAGAAAAAGTTAAGTTTATGTTCAAAGTTGATTATCGATAAAACACGAATAAAATGACATTTTCTTAAAATGATTCCTAGCTAGATCGATTTATCGCCCCCGAAACCCCCTATATACTAAATTTTATGAAAATCGTTGGAGTCGATTCCGAGATTCCAATTATATATATACAAGAATTGCTCATTTAAAGATATAAGATAACGACTGCATGAATCTCGTAGAAATTTGACATAGATGTAGAACATAGTCTGGAAGAACACATATACTACTAATTATATTTATTTTTAATTCTGCGTGGACAAAGTAGCGGGCAACAGCTATATCATGATCATGAGCATCAACTACTCGTATAAGTCCCAACTGAAGGTCTCAGAGTCTACCCTAAATGAGACTATGTGATACTGAATGCTGGCCTAGTGCAAGACTTCACACATATCTTTGAATTTCTCAGATATGTGCATCACGATGTTTTCCTTCACCATAACGTAGGATAAATCAAACACATTGGTATAGCGGGATTCGAACACAGGACCTGCATTACAAGTCTAGTGTTCCCTGAGCTACTGACGATAGTTACTTACCTTTATTTCTTCACACGATATTAACATTAAACTATACAAGATAAAAAGCGTTAAGCAGAGATAAAAATCTTTTGCTATCGAAAACATTTTTATTTAAGTTCTTAAGAAAATCCTTTTTTCCAATGTCCTGAATGTGACTGAAGAAAATCGGCTCTAGCTACCCTTTTATACTATTCTAAAAGTATGGAGGCGAATTTAATGAAAAGGGGACATTGGGGTTTTACGGATCGTAACATTTTACTTAAAAAAAAAAAAATGCAATTGTTTATATGTTTGTTTGAAGATATCTCCAGAACAACTGCATGGATCTTGCTGAAATTTATCATAGATGTAGAACATAGTCTGGTAGAACACATAGACTACTTATTAAGTTTTTTTTTTCCGCGTGGACGGAAACACGGTTGATAGCTAGTTTAATTATAATTTATCAACACTTAACAATTAATGTAACGATTTAATCCCCAAACGTTTATTCTTTTTTAAAGTTATAAATAACTATAAATTTCAGATCTCTTACACGTATAAGAATATTAGTATTTCTATTTCAAAGACTTTGAGAGGTCGAATCAGTTAGGTCGCAGAGTTTAAGTAGCTACCGCCCGTGACTCCGAACGCGCAATTAAAAAACTTAATTAGCAGCCTACGTGTTCTACATCTATGTCAATCTTCAGCGAGATTCATGAAGCTATTCTAGGGATACCTTCAAACAAACCCATCTATATCACTTATAATATTAGTAAAATTATTTATATTTTTAACTCTTCAAAAACAAGGAGGTTTTTAATTCGTGTGTATGTTTTTTTTCATCGATAACTCAGCCCCTTAGTTATCCGATTTTCATCATTCCTTATTCTAAAGATTTGGTTTTATTTTTTGAAATATTAAAAACTATTCTGTAGTTTTTGAGTTATCCAATATACCATGTTACCCTAACATACTCCTGCCTTTACAAATTAGTAGCAAATTGAAACAAATCGTCTGTAGGTAACGATTTCTGTACACCAGGGTGATCTGTCAACATAGAACTATTAATGGATTTTCCATTTATCTTATTACTAAGACTAATATAATTGTTTTTGCAAATACCAACATGTATATATTGACATTTAACAGTGGTAGAGCCCGCTTTAACATCTTCGCACGAATTGTCCCGGCTCGCCCGATGAAATACCACGACCACACAGAAGACAGGCGTCAAGAGGAAGCAATTCCGCGTACAGTCTGATGAGTGTGCGTCCCGGAGGCCTAATTTAGTCATCTCCCTTCCCACCCTTTTTCTTATAAGGAAAGGATGGGAAGTGGAAGTGAACTTTCCGGATGAGAGGATGCATGGGAAGGGAAAATATTTTGTGAATCCTCTCCTCCGTCGATCAAAGGTAGGCAATGCATATGCAATTGCGTATGTCTAGGGTCAACCGTCATTTCGCTATTTCAGCGATTTCAGGTGACCGCTCTTTCGTTTGTCACCTTGTGATATAAAAAAAGGACAATCTGTTGGGTTTCCATAACATGTGTATTTACAAGAAATTATAATACTAATCTTTTCTTACTTCTTACTAATATTATAAATGTGAATGTTTCGATGGATGTATGTTAGAAGATATCTTTAGAACGGCTGCATAGATTTCGCGGAAATTTGTCATAGATGTAGAACATAGTCTGGAAGAACATATAGGCTACTTATAAAGTTTTTTTTAATACCGTTCGGACAGAGTCGCTGGCGACAGCTAGTCTTACTAATATTTTAAATGCGAATATTTAGATGGATGTTAACTTGAAGATATCTCCAGAACAAATGAACGGATCTTGATGAAATTTATCATAGATGTAGAACATAGTCTGCTCATTAAGTTTTCTTTAATATCGCGCGGATTCGCGAGCTAAAACTAGTTCAAAATCTAATTAAACTCTTAAATATTTCTGTCAAAACACATTTTTTCTTGCATAACTAAAAGTTAAAAAAATATATAATAGAAAAAAGTCAAAAATAGTAACGGCTGCCACAAAGCCACGTCTTAGTATACATACATATACTTAGACGCGACTTTGTTTGTCCTTAAATCGATACAAAGAATAATGGCTGAAGGCAATACACAGTTAAACAAACAACATTCCTATTGTAATGTTTTCCCCCAAAAGAAATTACGTGGTTAGGTTCAATTACATTCTTAGTTAAAACAATTTAAGTTGTTTTGTATTTCAATGTATAAACTTTGACTATTTAAATAAAGGATCTGACAAGCCCGCGTATTACTTTAATCGAACTATGAGTTATAAACTTGCTTATCATACTTTTATCTATATATAAAAATCAATTACTGTTCGTTAGTCTCGCTAAAACTCGAGAACTAAACGGATTTCTCATATCTTGGTCTCGAAATGTTCGTGGAGGTATACGGAAGGTTTAAAAGGTGAGAAAAATTGGAATAATTGCGGGTAACTAATTAGGATTTTTTTCATTCCACGCGAACGGAGTCGCGGGCGATAGCTAAATATAATAGCTATATTGTTAAAGGAGCGTCTGTCGATCAGTTGACATGTAATCTGAAGGTCTTGTATTTTAATTTACATATGTACATTTATCCGACGTTGCGGTGAAGGAAAACATCGCGATGCATATATCTGAGAAAGTCAAACATACGAGTGAAGTCAACCCGCGCTTGAACAACATTCACTATCACATAGCCTCACTTAGGGTAGACTCTGAGACCCTCATATAGTGTAATGATGATGATATTATCTATGCGTCTATTTAAGATTGATTAGTTTGACAACTCTATCCATCCATCTAAACATTCACATTTATAATATAAGTAAGAAGTAAGATATAAAAAAGTTAATCTAAGTTAAACGAAAAGAGTTGGATTTTTTAAATATGTTTCCTCGTATAGTTAATGTCCTGGCTGTACATCATAACCAGCTTATCGCTGAACTTTGGGACACGTGTAGTAGGAAATAAGTATTTATGTCTCTCATTTATCCTTAAACTAGCTATCGCCCTTGACTCCGTCCGCGCGATATGTGTGTTCTTCCAGTCACATGGCGGGATTCGAACCCAAGATATGCAGATTACAAGTCAAGTGCATTAACCCCTGAGCCACCGATGCCCTCAGTTCCAAAGATACCTTCAAACATCCATCTAAAGATTCTCATCTATCTATATAAAAGAAAATGGTGTTAGTTACACTATTTATAACTCAAGAACGTCTTTACCGGTATGCCAGAAAATTGTTGAGGAGGTAGCTTAGAGCCAGGAGACGGACATAGGATGCTCTTTATCCTTTTTTTTCGAATTTTATGCCTTAAAGAGCTGCTTTTTATTTAACTTATTAATATTATAAATGCGAATGTTTAGATGGATGTGATGTGGATGGATGGATGGGTGTTTGAAGATATCTCTAGAACGGCTGAACGGATCTCGATTAAATTTGGCATACGTATAGAACATAGTCTGAAAGAACACATAGGCTACACTAATTAAGTTTTTCATATATCCACGCGGACGGAGTCGCGGGCGACAGATAGTTTTACATATATATAAAAGAAAGTGGTGTTAGTTACACTATTTATAACTCAAGAACGGCTTTACCGATATGACTGAAAATTGTTGAGGAGGTAGCTTAGAGCCAGGAGACGGACATAGGATACATAGTATTCGAATTTTATGGCTTGAAGAGCTGCTTTTTATTAATATTATAAATGCGAATGTTTAGATGGATGTGATGTGGATGGATGGATTTGTGGGCTACACTAATTAAGTTTAATATATCCACACGAACGGAGTCGCGGGCGACTGCTAGTTTACAACATTAATGAGAAGGACAAAATTGAAGTTACTAATTAAAATTTGACTCATAAGTAAACCACAATTACCTAAATCAAAATTAAACGTATTATTTTCCCTTTTGAAAAGTATAAAACAAATGGAAATAAAACATTTGCCACCAGTTACAATATACCAGTGCGAAGTTCTCGAAATAATAACCGTATTAAAATTATCATCGTAAAAAAAGAAAAACGAACATAATAGTAATGAAGAAAATAATATTATTTCTATGTTTCACCGCAACTGTTTGTTCAGAACAATACTCAAATGAATTGTCAATTAATATCGCGACATTTTTAAATAAATTCGTCCAATTCAAGTTAAATATAAACAATAGGATAAACATGGAAAACATCGAAGATATGGGTAATAAAGGAAATAACGATTTAAATAATTTCGATGTTAAGAAGAGAGATGCCGATAATATAATGGACAATTATAAAACTGTGGCAACAGCTCCTAATATATGTGCAAATCATGGTGATATGACTTTAACAGGTTGCCGCAATAATAAAAGTGAGAAAGGCAAACGAACAATGGGACCTGTCATGCTCAAATCAAAGAGAAAAACCAAATCAAATGCAATGCAATAAAACCTGTATGGTGTTAGGTTATAAGGACATCGAATTGCCAACTACACCGCCTCGTGAAAATCAGTGCAGTTTTCTCCGATTAGTTTTTGCTGTGTTCTTCAAAAAATACCTCAAATCTGCTTACCCCTATCGTAACAATCACTCTAATATCAAGAATCATCATCATCAATCTCATGAAGCTCTCGCTAAACAGTTGGATTAAGGACCCGATACAAAAAGCAGTTATCCTAGAAACCGCGCGCATCGTGAGAAGGTTCCAGTCTGCAGCCCTCACCACTGGTTGTTTGAGTCATGGGATTCCGCAGCCGGTGGTGTTCTATTTTTAATATAATATATTATATTTTGTATATATATTTTTTTTTGGATATGAAATGTATAATACTATATTAAAAATATGATAAATAAATGTATAAGAACTCTATTATAAATGCGAAAGTTTGTGAATGTGTATGTTTGTTACTTCACGTTCAAACGCCTGGAACAAATGGATGACCGTAATATAACAAAAGGAGCGTCTGTGGATCAGGAGTCAAAGCACTTGACTTGCAATCTGCAGGTCCTGGGTTCGAATCCCGCCATGTACCAATGTGTTTTTCCATCTCCGATTTACATATGTACATCCGACGTTCTTACGGCGAAGGAAAACATCGTGATGCTGCACATATCTGAGAAGAAATTCATAGATATGTGTGAAGTCAACCCGCACTTGGCCAGCGTGGTTGACTATGGCCTAATCACCCTTAACTTAGGGTAGGCTCCAAGCCATGATGAATATTATAATATTTTGGAAATTGTTTTTGTTTTTACTGGTACTCGTACATAACACTGAAACATTGGCATAGTGAATGTAATCAAAAATATAATAATATATAATAAAACACGCTTATGTAAAATGGTTTTTTATTTACATAATATACATAAAATTAAAATCGATTTATTTATGTGTTCAAGGTATACATGCCGTGTGTAGACTCGAGCTCAAACTTGCTCTGAGACTATAACACAGTCCCCACAGCCCTTAGTAAGACTAGGTCTCAGTTAACCCACCCCCTACTGTCCTTAACTAACACAATCACCTAAATGCATGGTGGAGTCGAACTCAGATGTACAGATTACAAGTTCAGTGCTCAACCACTGCGCTTTATGCCCACCGCATCTGGACAAATAAATTTATCGAATATTTATTTTTTCACTATTATCGCACTAACTAGTTGTCACCCGCGACTTGGTTCTCGCGGAATTAAAAACATAATTAGTAGTCTATGTGTCCTTCCAGACTATGTTCTATATGTATGACAAATTTCATCAAGATCTATGCAGCCGTTCTGGAGATACCTTTAAACGTACATCTAAACATTCGCACACAAATCATGTTTCTTACTTACGTGAGTTTTTTTTAACCTTTGTTTTTTTAATGTGAATTAATTTCAAGTGCATTTTTTGATTCTTCTATCAAATTATCTAATAATCTTCTAGTCATAAATAAATCTTTTCTTAATAAATATACAATTTTGTCTGTCGTTTCATTGTTTATATTTTTAAATTCCTCCTGAACTTTATCTTTTATAACCTCAAAATGATCATTCGGTAAACCGTCTTCGATTTTCTCATTCAAATCGATGTCAACTTTATTTCCATTTAATATATCTCTTAAGTCGTTTGTAAAGTTTTTAAAGAAATCCTCCAATATTGTATTGACTTTTTTCATTTCGTTTATCGTCAGATTATTGTATACTTCTTTGACGTATTCTGACAAGATTCGTTTGAAGTTTTCAACGTACGTGACCAGTTTGAATTGTTGATGGAGCTCTGATATGGACTCATTTTCTTGGCTGATCAGTTCTTCAACTGGCCGTGCATTATTGGTTAGAACGAATACATAGAGGAGGAATAGGCAACCTGAAAATTGAAAACTTTTTTACTTATAAATGCAGAACAGCTGTATGGATCTCGCTGGAATTTGGTATATATGTAGAACATAGTCTGGAAGAAAACACTTTTTCAAGAAGACCATTTCGCTGTTGTAGCGAAGTTATTTGCCATCTTGAACTATGCAAAAAATATAAATGCGTTCTTCCAAATTATGTTCTATATGTATACCAAATATCATCGATTTCCGTTCAGACGTTCTGGAGATATCTTCAGACAAACATCCATCTAAACATTCGCATTTATAATATTAGTAAGATTTTAATACTCACGCATGTTGAATTGCGAAGATGCTGTCACAAAAGCAGACGTCCGACCACAACTTACAAACTTGCAGAACGAGATTGTGATTCATAAATAAGGACGGTGTTATTCAGTAGTGAAGTATTTACTGATAAACTCAATTGACCCGGTGGTCTTTGATATTAATGTTTTTTTGTAATATAATCTAGTAAACAAGCTGCTGAATTCGCCGAAATAGCGAAACGATAACTGCTCTGACATCCACAATTGTGGATGCATTGTCTTCCTTTAATCTACTTAGGAGTTGCACGGAAATAGAATATTAAACTAGAGTTCCCTCTATTATATCCACTTCTAGGCTCATTTGTGCAACTGATGTTGGCGTCCACCACTGTTAAAATTTATACTACAATAGCTGTCGCCCGCGACTCCGTCCGCGCGGGATTAAAAATAGATGTTGGCCGATTCTCAGACCTACTCAAAATGCTCACAAAATTTCATGAGAATCGGTCAAGCCGTTTCAGAGGAGTATGGGAACGAAAATTGTGGTACGAGAATTTTATATATTTGACTAAGTTCATTTTTTTATTAAAAACAATGTAAACTAGTGCATAAATACATTTTTCTTTTTAAATAATAAATGGCGTCTCAAGGTCGTCTTTGCGCTGCGCAGTTTCCCGCGTCCTTTAAAATAACGTGACCAGACGTCCTATTTTGAACGGGACTGTCCATTTCTATACTTACGATTCCCGGTGTCCCGGAAAAGTATTCCAGGACAAATTGTCCCGTTTTTTAAACCGTCCTTTACTTACCTTTTAATTATCTTACTAATTATATAAATGTTTAGATTTATGGATGAGTTTCTTTATAGGTATCTCCAGAACGGCTGCTTGAATCTCGATAAAGTTTCGCACACATATAGAACAGCCTGGAAGAACACATATCCTACTATTTTTTTAATTCCGCGCAGACAAGCACGAGTCAAAAAATAAATGGTCACGTATATTTTCAATTACAAATAAAATTGTGTTCTAAACATCGACTCATACGACGTTCCGAATGAACATATGACGTCTTTTAAAATAATTTACTCTTCTGTAAAAATTAATAATTAATACTTATTGGATAACATCGTCCAATTAATTTCAATAACATGTTATTTGTGCAACTGATTTTGTTGTCTATAAATTACTATCGATGTATTTAAACAAACACATTGTTTTTAAAATGCATTTAAGTGGTTACCTATTTTCTAAATTAGCGAACGTCCGTGACCTTGACCGAGGGGAATCTTATTATTATAAATGCGAATGTTTAGATGTATGTTTGAACATATCTCTAGAACGGCTGCATGGATCTTGATGAAATTTGTCATACATATAGAACACAGTCTGGAAGAACACATAAGCTTATTACTCGCATTATTTTTAATTCAGCTCGGACGTTGTCGCGGACGCAGTCTAGTTATACTTTAATTTTTATTTACATTTTTTATTAATTTAATTTATATCGTAGTTCAAAAATAATTTTCGACATGACAACCATCGTAAATCGAAAAAATTCTTAATCGATTTTTCTCAAGACATATCTAGTGAATTGTCAAACTAATATATCTTAAATAGACACACTATAACTGGAAGAAACAAATACTGCGTAGTTGTCGAGAAGGAAGTTGCATTCATGAACAATTACTAAAACAAAGGAAGTAGCTACTTAAATGTAAGACCTCTTTCCACTAAGTGAATAACCGCATAAGACTATCATGACAATGGTAGAAACAGTCGATGTCTTAGTCCGTACGTCCTGTTCTGACGGTGCAACAAGACTACGGGATAGACATGGGACAACTGACCACTATATCCGCCGCAATATTATAAACTGGCGGTCACGGAGATTAAAAACAAAAAAAAATTGTAACCTATGTCTTCTTCCAGACTACGTTCTACATCTATGTTAAATTTCAGCAAGAACCATAAAGTCGTTCTGTAGATAACTTCTAACAAACATCCATCCATCTATCCAAACATTCGCAGTTATAATATTATAGTAAGTAAGATGTTTAGATGTATGGATGAATGAGTGTTTGTTATTAGATATCTCCAGTTAAATGAATCTCATAGTATGGAAGAATACATTGGCTACTAAATAATGTTTTATTTAAACTCAGACGGAGTCGCGGGCGACAGCGTTAAAGGACGAAAAAAACGTGGAGAGGGAGGGAAAATAATCTTTTTTCTGTTTAACCTCTCCTCAGTCTATGGTTTCTATGGAAATTAAAACCATTCATCCGTAAAATCTGGTGATATTTTGTTTGTAGAAAGTACGAGCGATAAATTTCACAGTAAAAAAGCGGTTTAAAGGATAACAGTGTCGAGTTGTCACTTATAAAGAACGTTACAAGGTCTAATAAGCCTTGCAACGCTACAATAATTTGATACCAGGTCTATTACGCCTTGTATATCTCTAGGATTATTAGATTTTGTTTTGGAATTGGGTTCTTGTCAAGCGGCAAATAAAATAAAAACATATATACTTCAAATTCTTTTAGATTTATCGATGATACTTTTTAATTTACTACGCGTGTTTAAAATGTTATTTTTTAATCTGTACACGATTTCGTCAGCTGTCACGTCGTCTGTATCTGGAAATTCCCTTAGGACTGTAGTTTTTATATCTTGGTCTAACTTCGATAGACCGTCTATTCTCTTTTTTGTATTTATTCCTAATTTTATATCTTTATCTGAAAACACTTCGATTAAATCTTCTGTAAATTTCTCAACGAATTCATCTAAATTTCTATTAACTTCTTCTTTATCTTGTTTTGATAGATTTATGTATTCCTTATCGACATTTTCAGATATTGTTGTTTTGAAATTTTCAATGTACGATGATAATTTTGTTCCTTTCACATCTGTTATTTGATCTTTATTTAAATCTTCCATCGGTTTAGCATTCACAAATGCTATTATAATGAAAATAACAAAAATATCTGTAAAGGAAGAAATAAATAACAAAATGGCGTCCACCAGAAAGCATAGTTTTTCGAATAAAAAACGAATTACCAAAATCGGTGCATCGGAACGTGAGTTATGTTGTAACGAAAAAAATTAGAAAGAATAATCTCCTTTTTGATGCCAAATGGAAATAAAAAAACTAAAAGCAAAACTTTGTAGTTTATTGAGGATTTCTGAACGGATATTTGACACTAGATTAGTCGAAAGTCACATATCATCTCAATGTGCGACCTTCAAGTTTGAAATAAATCATCAGCTGACTATAGATCCCCATTGAGGGTCTCAGAGTCTACACTAAGTGAGAGTATGTGATAGTAAATGCTGGTCCAGTGCAAGACTTCATACATTTGACTTTCTCAGATATGTGCAACACGATGTTTTCCTTCACGGTAACAACATACGATAAATGTACATATGTAACACATTGCTACATGCCGAGATTCGAACATAGGACTTACACACGCAAAAAACACACGCTTACTAATCTTACTAATATTATAAATGCGAATATTTAGATGGATGTTTGTTAGAAGGTATCTCCAGAACAGCTCAACGGAATTTGATGAAATTTGGCACACATGTAGAACGTAGTCTGAAAGAACACATAGACTTATTATGTTATTTTCATGATGAAATTAATATATCTAAAATATTATTCAAAATTACTTACTCATTTCTTCAACGAAACAATATTACAATATGGTAACTCGTATAATGCGGTATTTACTACAATCCGTTTGTTATAAATACCATAAATGAAGGTTATGTGAGTTTAAAAGACAATTGAACGTCTCAAAATAGAATACTAGATGTCGCCCGCGACTTCATCCGCGCGGAATTAAAAAAAAACTATCGGTCGTAATGTTATATAGCCTAAAGCCTTCCTCTATAAATGGACTATCCAACAAAAAAATAATTTTACAAATCGGACCAGTAGTTCTTGAGATTAGCGCGTTTAAACAAACAAACTCTTCTGCTTTATAATGTTAGTGTAGATACTCGTACAATATGGGTCTCATACCCTGACCTGAATAATCCACTGGTTAGGCTATAAATTGTTATATTTTGTGCCTATTTCATTCTCGCCATAGACCAGTCTTACCCAAAGTGTGCGATAACGTCCCCTTGTGGGCGCTGCAGGTCTCAAGTTGCAGGTTATAGTAAAAGTTTCGTTTAGAATTCTCCGTTAATATACATATATAGGTCACAATAATTAATTAATTTAATTTGAAGTTATAGTGGTTTTTAAACATGTGAAAATATGGAGGCGCTAAACAAAAATTTATTCTCAAAATGGGCAGTAGACAAAATAAGTTTGGGAACCACTGCCATAGACGAACAGTGTCATAAAACTTTATATCTGATGAATAATTTCGCTGTCAAAACAAAGTGATGCAATCCAAAGTATGAAAGCATGTCATCTCGCTCTTTACCTTTGTATGAAAAGAGATGACGATATGTTCATAATATGCGTCTCGAAGTATATTGGATACAGTTATTTTTACGTATTTTATGCGCCATTGTTCTCCTAACCTTGAAGTTTAGTTGCAAATGGATGTACTTAGTACTTATTATTGTAAAGGTAATTAAACTCTAAAAAACAAAACACATCTCAGCCATAGGCAACGCTTTTTATTTAATGTTACATCAAATTGGACGGTTTAAATCCGCTTGGGAAGACTCAGAGCTACACTACCCTTGATTTTCGCTATATTTTTCTTTATTAATCTTTCATTCATTCTTTCGATATGTCAAAACCTTCTTCTTTTTTTTAATTTGACTTAAAAAAATCCACTTTTAAACCATTTTTTTTAAATTATTATATTAACTTCTATTTGTCGTCCGCGACTCCATCCGCGTGGAATGAAAAAAACTTAGTTTACGGCAATTATTCGAATTTTTCTCACCTTTTAAACCTTAGGGAACATACCCATACTACGTGACCCGTTTAGGGGGGGAGCGGAGTCTTTAAAATACTACGGTCAGTCACAGGAGCGGGGGGGCGGCTCAGATTTTAGTCACGTAGTCGTTAGTTGTTATTTTTCATAATACATAATTCACTAGTAATTTAAGTATGCATGCAGTCTTATGCTATAAAGAAGAGTATGAGCCAAATTATTTAATTATCAATTTTTACCTGTGATATGATTAAAAATCATTATTATGAATTACTACGTAAAAACTAAAGGGGGAGGTCTTGGCATATACTACGAGTGGTCACCGAGGGGAGGGAGGGGTCGAAAAAACTAAAATTATAGGTTACGTAGTGTGGGTATGTTCCCTTACATAACCTCCACGAATATTACAAGACCAAGATAAGATAAATCCGTTCAGCCGTTCTCGAGTTTTAGCTAGACTAACGAACAGCAATTGAGTTTTTTATATATATAGATGATAAAATATAATTGAGTCGATGTTATTGCTTGCCAGTGACGATATTAAAACACAATAGTAAAAAGTATAATTATATTTAAATTAAATATGAATAATTTTATACATATTGAAATTACTTTTAATAAGTCAGACTTTTCATATAAAAATGTGTATATTATAGGAAGTTTGAAAGTAGCGCCAGTGATCGAGAAATTGAAGAGTAAAAGATTAGCGTGGTTTGGACATGTTATGCGGAGAGAATATGATATAAACAAAAAAGTAGTAGTTGAATGTGGATGGCTACAAGGGTAGGGGAAGACCAAAAAAAGTATGGAATGACTGTGTGAAAGATATGCGTAGGAAAGGGGTAGACTCGGATATGACGGCTGATAGAGATGTATGGAGGAGTACATACTGTGCCGACCCTCAATAGGGATAAGGGCAGGTTGATGATGATGAAGTCAGACTTTTCATAAAAGAACAATACGACAAGACGTACAAGAATACTAAGACACAACATTGACTGGGGGGCGCTAGTGAGCTGATATCATTTAGTTTCACTTTAACCCACCGTCTGACAATTTTGTCGTACTATATTTGCACATAGAAAATATAACGCTATTAATCATTAAATTAGGACTTAAAAATTACTATTTTTTAATTTTAAAGGTAGGGGAAGACAGAAAAAGAATGTATTGTGTGCGTGATGCATAAGAAGGGAGTGAATTCAGATATGATTAACAGATACGTATAAAAAGTATTTACTGTGCCGACAAAATAATTTAAAACAAAAATATTTTTTTATTTCCATTGATATACATTATAAAAGGTTTTGTACCGCGTTTCTTTTTTAAATAATTGTATAATTCTTCACCATTTCGCGGCAAATCTATGAACACAACACTTGGCTTTGAATTGACATCTATGTCAGATAGAATAGCTGTATCATCTGTATTGTCAGTGTTGCCATTGTCAAATATATTATCTGTATTTCTTTCTAATTTATTATCTGCATTTTCTTCTTTATCCTTACAATAATTCACCGTAATATCAAGAACTGTATCTTTTTGATCTTCATCGTCGTAGTGTTTGTCGATTTTCAATTTTAACGATCTTATATCGAACTCATCGTAGCGAACTGACAAAAGGCTTAGGAAATCTACAATTTCTTTTACCATTGCGTTTATTTTGATTTCATTGTCGTTTGTCGAATTTATACAATTTGAATTCAAAGAGTTATCTGAAATATGAAATAATTACTCCGTACGGAATTAAAAAAGAACTTAATAGTCTATGTATTCTTCCAGATTATTCTACATCTATGACAAATGTCAGCGAGATCCATACAGTCGTTCTGGGGATACCTTCTAACAATTATCTATCTAAACTTTTGCATTTATAATATTAGTAACATATAAAATCAATCTTTATGACTCTTGGTCACCGCATCAAGGGTGAACAGATGAAAGATTTCTTTTTAACAACCAATTTTTTTTGTTAATAAAGTGTAATCAAATTTGAGGTTAGGAAGTAAAATGATGAAAAATCGCATTTAATATTTATAGGTAAGACATGATAACTAGTAAAATATTAACGTAACCTTAAATTCATTTCAAAACAGATAATTCATAACAGCTTTAAAAACTTAAATAATAAAAATTCTAAAATTATGAAAGAAAAAGTAAATACCTATGGATGGTTTAGCAAGTACTGCATTTATAAGCTGTAAAAGAAATAATAATATAATAATTAATTAATTTAATTAAAACGTCCAATTATATTTTACGTAAAAATAAATTACAATTTTTTTATTCAATTTTAAAATTTAATAGCAATTATTATGTCATGAAAATTTGCTGAAAACATTTTTTTATATTCATTCATATTAAATAATTATTTTAAAATATTCTCAGACGTTATTTTTTAATTGTTTACAAATAAATAGAAAGATAAATAAATAAAAAAACTTACTCCAAACAATATCAATATCTTTATCATCGTGATATTTTTAATCCAATATAAAATTTAATATGACCTGCAAAGTCAGTTACGTAATGAAGACTGAATAAAAACTAACCAAACATTTTGTCTAAAACATCTGTATGTTACAAAAGAATAGAAATACGTTGGTTTTAAATTTGCATAAACAAATTATAGTTAACACAATGCTAATTTCACTTTAAATCATACTAATATTATAAATGCGAAAGTTTAGATCAGTGGTTCCCAAACTTATTTTGTCTACTGTCCACTTTGAGAATAAATATTTTTTTAGTGCCCCCATATTTTCACATATTTAAAAACCACTATAACTTCAAATGAAATTAATTAATTATTGTGACCTATATATGTATATTAACGGAGAATTCTAAACCTCTCAGGCCTTTACACAACGCCCCCATTTTCTTTCTGGGTCTCTTACCGCCCCCCTGAGACCTGCAGCGCCCACAATCGGAAATCCGTATGCCTTAACCATTAGGCTATTGACGCTTTTAATCTGATGAAATTTGGCATAGATATAGAACATAGTCTGGAAGAACACATAGGCTATGACCCCGGCAATATGTGCGGTTCCAGTAGGATACGTTTGATTCTCATATTTACTCGATAACTCAACAACGGTTCGTCATATTTTTTTATTTCAATTTGGCACAGTAATAGAACACAGTCCGCAAGATATACTTTTAACCCTGTTTTTTTCAAATCTGTGCAGACAAAATCGTGGTCAAAAGGTAGTTTAAACTACTAGTATTTTAACAAGCTTTTATTCGGTTTGTCATGTCCCGATGTTTGTTACAAATGAAAGGTCAACTTGTCGCTTGCGTGTTACAGATTGAGTAGAAATGTTACATACATCAGCTCTAAGTCCCCACTCAGAGTCTACTCTAAGTGAGAGTATGTTATAGTGAATGCTGGTCCAGTGCAAGACTTCACACATTTGACTTTCTCAGATATGTGCAGCATCACGATGTTTGCCTTCACCGTAACAATATACGATAAATGTATAATACATATGTAAAAATACATTGCTACATAGCGGGATTCGAACTCAAGACCTGCAGATTGCAAGTCAACTGACTAACCCCTAAACAAGAAACGCTTGAAATGTTTGATAAATGTCTAAATCACGTGACAATACAATATTATGATGACACGGAGCTGATCTGATGATGCAGCTTCTACATCCTCATAACAACTTCATAACACAACCTCGTGTTTGAATAGTCTTGACTTATTTTTAGTAATTAAATAAGAACATATTTAAATCTATGATTACTAGCGTAAAGCGCAGATTTCGGACAGACACAGAGGATAATCTTAAATAAGACTTTTTTATTTTAAACATCATGTGCATGAACTATGAATATTTATATCTTTTTTTTTTAATTGTAATATCCAAAAAGTAAATCGACATCATAGGAGACCGAAGAGCTGGCAGCTATCTCGGACAAAGAATTAGTATAGCTATTCAAAGGGGGAACGCTGCCAGTATCTTCGGAACCTTGCCTAAAGGGACTCCTTTTAATAAGACAACTCCGTCAGCGTGTTTGTCTAAAAAATAAAAAATAAAATTTAGGGGTCTACCCTTAACATTAAGGGAGATGAAAAATATATGTTGGCCGATTCTCAGATCTATGGTCACAAAATTTCATGAGAATCGTTCAAGCCGTTTCAGAGGAGTATGAAAACGAAAGTGACACGAGAATTTTATATATAAGATTAATTATTCGTTTTTTTTCGATGTTACATACGGACATTCAAATTTTATTAACTCTGTAACTGTATACAGAGTAGATTTTATTATTTGTACAACTGGTATGGAAATTAACGCGTATAACCTCAAATGCGCAATAATATATTATGTTTGTTTTCATTTACGTATTTTATAGTTTAAATATTAAACACAATCATTTCTATATATTAAAAATATTCCTTGAAAACAATTTTCTATTCCGATAGCCATCTTATTTATATTATAAATGCGAATGTTTTTTTTGTTAGAGGTTATCTCCAAAACGACTACATAGATCTTGAGGAAATTTGTCGTATAGAACATAGTCTGGAAGAACATAGACTACTAAGTTGCATCGCACACTTCCTCGTTAGCTGGTAAATCCACAACACCAGGAATCTTAATAGATATAAATGCGAATGTTTAGATGGATGTTTGTTAAAAGGTATCTCCAGAACGGCTGCATGGATCTTTATTAAATTTGACATAGATGTAGAACATAGTCTGTAAGAACAGATAGGCTACTAATTAAGTTCGAATCCCGCTATGTAGCAATGTATTTCACATATGTACATTTATCCTATATTGTTACAGTGATGGAAAACATCGTGATGCTGTACATATCTGAGAAAATCAAATGTGTGAAGTCTTGCACTGGACCAGCATTCACTATCACATACTCTCACTTAGAGTAGACTCTGAGTGGGGACTTAGAGCTGACTTATGCAATATTTCTACTCAATCTGTAACACGCAAGCGACAAGTTGACCTTTCATTTGTAACAAACATCGGAACATGTCATACTAAATAGAATCAGTTAAAAGGAAACAGAAAATTCTAGTTCTTAAAACAAATAAACGTAATGCAACTTCCATGAACAATAAATATATTAAAAACAAATAAAAAACTGTAATTTATTATACAAAATAAACATATAAATGGCCAACCATACAATTAAAAACAATAGTGTTGTTTGCACAAGTGAAATTTGGGGTTAATTTATTACATTTTTTATTTACAATGACCATATTTTCGGGAGTTTAAATTTGGTATAAAAATGAATTAGTTATTTGGTAAGGTATAGTCAGTCTGGCTTCTGGTCTTATATGGTCCTATTTGGTCCATAGGCCGAAATATGAGTCAGTATACAGCTTTCCTTGTTGTCACGCTCAGTGTAAGTTTTTTTTTTTATTTGTTATTAAAAATTTAAGGCAGAAATTCTTAAAATTAGAAACAAAATCAAAGGAATAAAGTATGGGATTTTTTTTATATCATGGTGGTGGCAAACGAGCGAGCGGTCACCTGAAATCGCTGAAATAACGAAGTGAACGTTGCCCATAGACATACGTAATTGCATATACGTTGCCAAATTTTGATCGACGGAGGAGAGGATGCACAGAAAGAAAATATTTTCCCTTCCCATGCATCCTCTCATCCGGAAAGTCCACTTCCACTTCCCATCCTTTCCTTATAAGTAAAAGGGTGGGACAGGGAAAAACGACTAAATTAGGCCTCGGGGACGCACACTCATCAGACGAAACGCAGAATTACTTCCACTTCACGCCTGCCTTCTAAGAATATCTGATTTAGGATATTGTCATTTTGAACTTTTAACGCCATCTATTGACGACTTACTAAAAATGTTTTACGGACTTTAGACGAGATATCCGTCCAAACGTCGACACATGGGAGGACATTTATTACTTAAACGTTAAAAAATAACACTAGCTGTCGCCCGCAACTCCGTACACTTGATATGTCTATGTGATCTTTCAGACTATGCCTACTGTGCCCTATGTCATCAAGATCCGTTGTTCTGTAGATACCTTCAAACAAACATACATCTAAACATTCCCATTTATAATATTAGTAATATTATTAATCTTATTTTATGACATTTTTCTTCAGGTCCTGAGCGCGTTGGCAGCACCTCAAGGTATGTTTGTTAATTTCCAATGCGGAAGCAATTATTTTTTATATATTATGTATAAAAACATATTACAATTCCTTTTCCCTTTGATATATCCAACATTTTTTTATTTCACAGATAACCAAGGATACATATTCCAAGATGCTGAATCTTGTAAGTATTTTTTCTTAGAAAACGCAATTAATAAAATTAATAATAGTTTCCAATAGCTGATAATAGATGGCGCAGACGTCAAAATTTCTGATTTAAATAAAATATTCCTAACTATGCTAGAATTAAAAAAAAACATATCGCTGCATATAGATTTTTTTAAATTAATTTAAAAATATTTACTCATTATTTTCAGATGATTCCTCAAATGCAAACTCTAATTCATATTTAGGTAAGTTTTATTCATACTCAGAGCCTTATTAACAGGGTTTCAAAGAGATCTGGACGCTCTTAGGATTCTAAGTTGAGTTCTTGACCAATAAATGGTGAAACATATTTGAGTCCCTTCCCCGGCGTTCAAAGGTTTAAAACACGTATTTATCTAAAGAGTGTTAAACTAAGTTTTTGGGGTAGCACAGTCAATATTTCTGGATGGAAATCAACCTGCCATTATACCTACTGAGGGTCGGCATGTACTCCTCCATACATCTCTATCAGCCGTCATATTTGAATCCACCTCCATCTTACACATATCTTGTTTTATGTTTTATATTAAAAGGTGGCAAACGAGCGGGTGGTCACCGGAAATCGCTGAAATAGCGAAGTGACATGCCCATAGACATACGCAATTGCATATGCGTTGCCTACCTTAAATCGACGGAGGAGAGGATGCACAGAAAGAAAATATCTTCCCTTTCCATGCGTCCTCTCATCCGGAAAGGCCACTTCCACTTCCCATCCTTTCCTTATACAGAAAAGGATGGGAAGGAAAATCAGACGAAACGCGGAATTGCTTCCACTTGACGGCTGTCTTCTGTGTGGTCGTGGTATTTCACCGGGCGAGCCAGGCCGATTCGTGCGAAGATGTTAAAGCGGGCTCTACCACTGTTATTTCACACAATACTTTCTTTGGTCTTCTATCTTTGTAGCCGCATTCAATCTCTTTACTTTTTTATTTATAGAATCCGAGAACTCTTATAACAATGGGAATCAATATCAAAGAACTCAACAACAATCAGCACAGAATGCTAACTCACAAGCCTACCGAAGAGCAATGCAAAGCCAGTATGGCGACTACGTACCATGGTCATATCCTGGATATCCTACACCAGTTAACGGTTAGTTTAAATTTTAAATATGAATCATCATCATCAGCTCACTATACGTCAACACTGAGGGGCTCGGAGCCTACCCTAAGTTAAGGGTGAAGGCCAGTCAACCAAGCTGGCCAATTGCGGGTTGACTTCACACATATCTTTGACTTTCTCAGATATGTGCAGCATCACGATGTTTTCCTTCACAGTAACAACATTCGATAAATGTATATATGTAAATCATAAATCGTAAAACATATTGGTACATGGCGGGATTCGAACCCAGGACCTGCAGATTGCAAGTCAAGTGCTTGACTTCTGAGCCACCGTTGCAATATATATTATACAATAGTTCACGACAAAGTCCATGACTTGATGTGTCTGTGTTCTTCCAGACTATGTTCTACATCTATGCCAAATTTTATCAAAATCCATGCAACCGTTCTGAAGATATTTTAAAACAAAAATCCTTCTAAACATTCGCAATTTTAAGACGTAAGAATGTTTGAAGGTTTAAAAAATAAATGCGAATATATGTTAGAAGGTATATCCAGAACAGCTGCATGAATCTTGATGAAATTCGTCATACATATAGAACATAGTCTGATAGAACACATAACCTACTAAGTCCTTTTTAATTCCGTGCTTACGGATTCTTGGGCTACAGCTAGTAGATACATAAATGGATGCTTTAATTGTTTATGTTTTATCCACAGGTCGTCCTTCACAAGTACCATGGGACGGCACTGGTCCTCCTCCAGTGTATCCATTGATACCCTTAATCAAGGAGGTATACGATTACCTACCTTACCCACAATATCCAGCCATACCACGCGTACAGCCATACCCTAATTCACCACTGATCAGACCAGGTAGAATACAGTCTTATTTATTTACTAGCTTTTGAAAAACATACTAAAATATGTCAAATTTCAGCTAGATTCATGCATTCATTGTGAAGTTATTTAATAACAAACATCCATCAATCATTATTTTTATGATCAAGCTGCCCTACCTAAAGAGGGTCGGCATGTACTCCTCCATACATCTCTATGAACCGTCATATCTGAATCGCGCGTTACCAAAGTGTCAGAATGATAAGGGAAAAGACATAAACGTTGACATTTTAATAAGATTTTCGTCCTAACATTATAAACAATTTTAATGTTCTAAAAGCGCCAAGATCTGGAGCATCAGCATACGGTCAGGCCAACAGCGGCTTCATCCAAGGACGTCCTTACTCGACGGCACAAACTGGTGCTAACGCCTACGCTCAAGGTAAAGGCAAATTCTTATTTAACTTTATTAACTATTTTTTATCATCAGGCGTTTGATCGTGTAAAAACATCTTCCCGTTTTATTTCTGAAATTGCTTTAAGAAAAAAACGTTTTCTGTCAACTTGGTATTTCTGATGAAAAAGAGATGAAGACGACAGGAATCAATGAAATGATTGATTATATTTTTTCCAGCTCAACCTGCACCAACATTACCTCGCGGCAGACCGATTCAGACGATTCCACAGCCGTATTACCCACCGTATGTGGCCCCTCTTCCGATAGTACCAGTACAAAGTGTACCTGTTATTCCAGGTAAACCAGTCAAATAGACTTTATTTTACTAATAAATAGATGGCGCTGGTCTCAATTTAAAATTACTAGCTTACTAGTTACATTAAAATTCCGAAAAGTTTTATTATATTTGTTTATTTGTGAGCATTTACTTAGGATAAATAAAACGTAGGTGATTTATAAAATTTTCATTAATATAAGATTAAGACAGGCGTCAAGTGGAATCAATTTCGCGTTTCGTCTGATGAGTGTGCGTCCCGGAGGCCTAATTTAGTCCTCTTTCTCTTCCCACACTTTTTTCTTATAAGGAAAGGATGGGAAGTAGAAGTGGACTTTCCGGATGAGAGGTTGCATGGAAAGGGAAAATATTTTCTTTCTGTGCAACCTCTCCTCCGTGGATTAAAGGTAGGCAACGCAAATGTAATTGCGTATGTCTATGGGCAACGGTCACTTCGTTATTTCAGCGATTTCAGGTGGCCGCTCGCTCGTTTGCCACCTTACATTACAAAAAAAAATAGCAATTTTCTTTACTTCTTTCATGTTATATTTACAGGTAAAAATGGATCTGGTCATAGAAAGATAAGCAGCAGTTCTATATCAGCTGCGAATGCTGCAGCATCGGCTAAATCTCAGCTCGTCAAATCTTCAACCACGAAAAATGATTCTCAAGGTAATTATATTTAACAAATTCCACGACATTTTTAACCGCGACCCTGTAGGCATTAATATAACAATTAGTCGTGTATTTGTTCTTCAACACTATGTCCTACATCATTGACAAATTTCATCAAGATCCATGCAGCAGTTCTGGAGATACCTTCTAACAAACATACATCTAAACATTCGCATTTATAATATACGAACATTAAGAATTAAGACTAGCCTACACAATGAGTTGGTAACCTAACATTGATTTATATAGACAATAATTTTGGATAAGTCACGTGATTGTCGCACCTCAGTTACGAAGTTCGTTATGGAATCCTTTCGAAGCGAATGCATTTTGTCTAGCCTCTCTGGTACTTAATTATGACTTATTTTGCTGTAATTATATTTATATTGTTTTTCTTTATTTCAATAGGGACTTCAAGCAGTTCTATAACGTCAGCATCTAGTTCCTCGAACAGCAACTCTAACAGTTACGCCTCAACACAGTACTACGAAGAAGAAGGTACTTATAACTATAGAGACATATATTAGCTTAAATTTGTCGCTCGCGACTCCATCGGCGCAGAATTGAAAAAAAAACTATTGAATATTAAAAATAAAAAAAAATGCTTGCATAGTTATTTGGTTATAATCGCACATTTAACTAAGAATATAACAATACCACTAGACGATACTGGACCAACTCAACCAGGCAGCGGTGGACCAACTCAACCAGGCAGCGGTACATCAACTCAACCAGGTAGCGGTGAACCAACTCAACCAGGCAGCGGTGGACCAACTCAACCAGGCAGCGGTGGACCAACTCAACCAGGCAGCGGTGCACCAACTCAACCAGGTAGCGGTG